GACAATATGTAATCCATTAACTAGTGATTTCCTACTGTTTATTTTTTTTTCTGTAAATCTGTATAACTTGTACTCTTTCTCTGCTTTTTTTCTCCTTAAATAAAATTTTAAAAAATTATTTAAAAAAAAAGCTCCCCGGCATGGTGACCTGATTTAGGCTTCTGCTGACTCCTACTGCAGGACCACCCATTGTGCTCTTGTTTTCCTTAGGAAAACAAGAGCCTTGTTCTTCAACCTTGATGGCCAAAGATGCAAGGCTGAAGAAGATGCTGCAAAACAGTTTCATCTGGCCACCTCTAACTCATGAACACCATGGAAATGCTATTTCTCACCTCCAGTCTCTATACTGCTGCTAACATAAGTGATCATTTGTAAGTGAAAAAACTAAGTGTGGAAAAGTGACCAGATCTGTTCAAGGTCATTTCTACAATAGGAGAGTCAGCATGCAGACCCTGTTCCTGGTGTCTGGCAGCTACCTCCCTGCCCTATGAAGGCAGGGGATCTTTTTGCTATAGTACATGGCTTGGGGTGAGGGGACCTTCTATCATTTAGCTTCTTAGCCATGGGCCTCTTGATTCATGTTCCACATGCAAGTGTTTGAGCCTTGAATATGGCCAATGATGTTTTCCCAGCAATCACTGCACTCCTATTTCCTGTAAACCGCTCCCCCCCCCAGGTGCATGGGATTAGCAAGGGATTGAGCAACGTATGCATTAGCATGTAACTGCCCACATGCTTTAAAATTTGTTCTATCTCTTTTCCTTTTTACACATTATGATTATTGATGCATACTAGTTGTATAGAGTAAGGGGATTCATTATGATATTTTCATACATACATATAATGTGTATTGGTCAAGTTTGTCAACCCCTCTCTTATCTTCTCGCTCTATGCCAACTCTCCTCCCAGGCCTGTATAGCCCCTCTACTACTTTATTTTTTAGTTTTCACATATGAGAGAAAACATGCAATATTTGTCTGTCTGTATTATTTTGTTTAACATGATATCCTCCACTTCCCTGAATTTTTCTGCATATGACTGGATTTCATTCTTTTTTATGGTTGAATAGTGTGTGTGTGTGTGTGTGTGTGTGTGTGTGTGTGTGTGTGTGTGTGTGTCTGTGCCTGCATGTGTGCACATGTGCATGCCACGTTTGCTTTGCGCATTCTCTTGCTGACACATACCTAGACTGATTGCTTGCCTTGGTTATTGTGAATAGTGCCTCTCTTGTTCCTTTCTTGCTCATTAGCCATTGTTGTATCGCAAAGCATTCCCAAACTCAGTGCCTTATTGCAAAATTTTATAATTGGCACTCAATTTTCTGGTTTTACTAGGCTCAGTTGGGTAGTTACAGTGTCCTGTCAAATAACTTCAGTCAGCTTGGGGCTAAACTACAGTACATTCCCATGGCCTAAAGTCCAGCAATAAGAAAGGGAGGTCTGGAACATATCTTGAGGGTAGAGCACTTGCCTAGCATGCAGGAGGTCCTGACTTCCATGCCCAGCATGAGATTGTATAACAGCTTACAATTGATTTTTAAAACCATAGGGAGAATGGAACATGGATAGAGGAGCATTATTTGCTATAATAAAGCAAAAGAAATCACAAGCTTAGTGCCTACAGAGAGGAAAACTGATGAGACCTCATTTCACTGCAGATCCTTGGAAGCAGTGAAATTCAGTGTGATACAAATCTATAATTGTGTGCCACTGCTGGTTTTCTTTCTGTCAACAAGAGCGCACCATTCTTGTGTCAGGCATTGAGTTGAGAAACACTGATTACCAGTTGTGTGAGTTACTTTTCATTGGTTGTTGAGACAAAATACCTGACACCCAACATGCAAGAAGGAAAGGTTTATTTCTTACAGATAAGAGGTTTCAGTCCATACTCAGTTGGCTCCAAGGCAAAGTGACATGGTTGAGGGGAAGCAGTTGATCATGGCTGCAAACAGCAAGCATGAACAGCAAAAGAGAGAGACACGCCTTCTTCCCTCTGGTACACTGTATGCTGGCTCCACTCCTGGGCAGGTGTAGCACTCATACCACCAATCTGAGTGCTAGACAATGAACCAATCAGAAATACTGGATTTGGCCACATTCATTATTGTATTATGCTTTGGAGGGGCCCTGACATAAACTATGACACCAGTAGAGGCAAAGAGACTGCTCTCATACTCTCAGCATGAAGCTTATGGTCTACTGAGGTAGGGGGATATTTATCAAATCACTATCCAAGTATAGGCTGAAAATTCCTAATCTGAAATCTGAAGTCTGAAATGCTTCAAAATCCAAAACTTTTGAGTACTGATTTAGTGCCAAATTGAGAAATTCCACAAAAAGAAATTTTGTTTCAAACACAAAATGTTATTTAATTAAGATAATTGGTACATTTTAGATGTAAATAATGATCATGTTAATCATGGGAAATTTGTACCATACGTGATATGAATCTTTTTTTTTTCTCCATTCCCATACCTTTCCTTCAAGTCCCTTCCCCTCCTTATTTATGGAAGTATTCTTTCCTTCTTTTCTCATCATTTTTTTAATTTCCCTTCTTCCTTTCTCCCTCCTCCATCCACAATTCCCCATCTCATTAGAAAATGTTCAAATATCTATTTTATTTTAGTCCTTATCTACATTTTCAGTTTCCCACACCAGAGAAACAACACAATACACATGTTAACCACAAAATTAACACAAATATTGTATAAAATTATCTTCAGGCTCTGAGTATGAAGTATATATGAACTATAAATAAATTTCATGTTTAGACTTGGGTCACATCCTACAGACAACTTATTATGTCTATGCAAGTTCTCCAATAAATAAAAAAAATCAGAAATTCAAAACACTTCTTGTCCCAATCATTTTGTATAAATGACACTGAATATGCAGAAGTTTAATTAATAACCTCAAGGAAGAAGTACAAGGCCTGATCAAAATTTACAGTTAGGATTCAAATTCTTTAAATTTACTACAATAAGGGATACATACTCATTAATCTTCCTTAAGAAACACATTCTGAAAATAAATTAAATAAAATACACCTCCTTGCTTCAAACTCACATCTCCATTTGTACTTGCAATTTCTGGAGCAGTTTGGAAGTCCTCTTTTGCGAGTGTCTTTATAAATTGAGATAAAATATATAGTGAGTGCTGTTGCTGAGTGCCATCCAATGGAAAGAACGGCTCATATATACACTATGGTGTGCCTTATCCACCTGATTCACCAGATCTGGATCCTGTGACTTCTGACTCTTCTTCAAAATCAAAATGACCATGAAAGGTAAACAGTTTGAACTGATTCAAGACAATGAGGCAGCCACAAAAGCAAAACTAAAGATCCTTATAAGAGGACTTCCAGAATTGATTCAGAAGAAAATGGCAAGAATGCTGGAATCAGTATAATCAAAGGAAGGAAGAACAGGGTGTGGTGGTGCATACCTGTAAACTCAGCACTTGGGGGGCTGAGGCAGGAAAATCTGAGTTTGAGATTAGCTTGAGCAATACAGTGAGTTCAAAGCCAGCCTGAACTCCATAGCAAAATCCTGTCTCAAAAAACCAACAACAAACACACAAAGAACACCTAGCTGATTGCTTTATCACAATTTTGTGTTTGTGTGTGGATTACTGACTCACTGAAGGTGGAAGACCTTCTTGTGTGGTGGGGAACCAATAGGCCTGCATCCTGGATGCAGTAAAAGGGACAGGAGAAAGTCTGGCTTCTGCCTCTTCAGAAGAGTTCAAGTCCTTGCATTCACCTTAGGTGTCATTTCCAGGCTCCTAGCACAGGTTCTTCTGCTTCCTGCCAGAGACTCTCCCAGGACTCTGCTGTGAGCTCCAGGCCTTAGACTTATGTGTTGATTTTTGCATCTCCAATGAGCACCTGGCAAGTTTGCGTTCTTCTCCACCTGACTCTGCAGATGCTCTTCCTAAGCCTCCTTTGTAAATCCTTTATCTGTCACACACACAAGTTAAAACTGATCCTCTAGTGAACCCTGACACAAACTACCACTAGCCACCTGTGCAACCTCCCATGAACAATTTCATGCCTCACTCATGTGAAAAATCCAAAGCAGAACTGCAGCGGTGCTGTGCTATTTATGGGTTAGTTAACAGAGATGTTGGTGTTGGGCCCATTGGGTTAAAATTCTGTCCACTGTTTTGTTATTGGAAAACGTATTTAATGTTGGCATTTAGGCTCACACAGCTATGAAAATGAAGATAATTCCTAACTCACACTCTTGTAAGAATTAACATATGTAAAGTCTCTCAAAGGGGCCCTGGCCTGACACCTATAAGTGCTACATATGCTTATTAATATGTTATATTAACATGTAAAGATACTTTTTTTTTTATCAGTACCAGGGATCGAACTCACGACCGCCTACTTGCAAGGCAGGTGCATATGACTCTGAGCTAAATCCCCGGCCCCCATATAAAGATACTTTTAAGATATAAAGAAATCAGAGGATGGATACCGAAAGCACTCATTTCTCTGTAATAAAAGAAGGGCAACAACACAAATAACAATTGTATCTAAGCACTTGCTATATGCTAGGAACCATGGGAAGATCTCTTCATTGGATCTTCACAGCAGTGCCAAGAGATGAGTATTGCCATTCATTATGGTTTGTTTTTTTAATGGAAAAAACCCCACAATGTTTCAAAACGAAATAATAGGAGAATAACAATAGTGGAAATTGAGGCTCCTAGAAGAGAAGCAGTGTGCCTAAAGTGTCAGGCCTGGGAAGATTTGAGTCCAGACATCCATAAATTCCAAGCCTTAGACTCAGTCCACTCTCTGCTTCCTGTCATAGTAGGCCTGGGGCTCAGAGTCTCCCACAAGCCTCCTCAGAGACCTGCAACACACCTCCATTCAGCCTCACCCAACCCCCAAAGCCACGCCCCTTCCCCCCCCACAGGAGGACTACATACCTATTGGGTCCCAACTTTCTGGCCACGCCCCTTGCCCCGCCTCCCAAGCCAATGAGCCCCACCACTGGCCTCAAGCGAAGATTACACTCCACCTGGCCTAACTTGCGCAGGCCGCGCCCATGGACTGTCCCGCACCTTGCGCTTCCGCATCCCACTCAGTCCCGCGCCAGCCCTGGCCTCGCCCGCGCAGTGGATGCCGGTCTTGTACACGGAGTTGCCATTTTGCCGCTAGAGAAGCCCTCTGGAGACCTGAACGCTCTTTCTTCAGTGGCCTAGCCTGCGGCGGCGCCGGGACTGGGTCTGGGCCAGGTAGGCGGGCGGGAGCCGGCTGTGAGCAGCGGCGCCGCGGCCCGGTGGCCCCGAGGTTAGCGGGCGCAGGTGCCTTAGGCGGGCAGTTCTGCCGGCGGGGTCGCGGGCCCAGGGCGGCGGGCGCGGCTCTGGGGGTGACCCGGCCTCAGCCCGCAAGGCCCCTCTCTCCCTTCCTCCCTCCTCTCCTTCAGGGGTCGGCACAGCCAGGACTTGGCGCGCGGCCCGGAGTCGCTGGTCTCCACCAGGCGCTGCAGGGAGCCCAGCCCCGGAGTGGGACCTGCGGGAAGCAGCTCAGGTCTCACATGGCCTCTGCTGTCACTGAGCCTGGCTGTGCTGAGGGGGGGACATTTACCCCCCAAATGAGGATTTCATTCCACTCCGAGCTCCTCCCTGCAGACTGAGAGAGGACCAAGATATTAGAGTAAGATAGCAGTTATTATTCTACCTGCACATGCTTTGGCTCAAGTCCCTTCTATTGATAAGGGGTTTCTGCTTCTTTTAATATTGGTGCCACTTGGGTGTTTAGGTTTTGTGAGGAGACTGAATGCAGCATGGGGCTTTGACAACAAGGCAAAGTGTGATCAGTAGGGTTTAAAAATTTAAATCCACAAATAAAAATAATTCACCCACATAATTGAACCTTGCTACAGAATACCCATCTTGCCCATATTTGGCTGTCTCTAACCATTACTACCCAGTTCTGCTCATATCATTTATATATTTGTATAGTGTTGAATAATTTTATTATATAGGTAGAAGTGTACTTAGTTATCCTGTTACTGACCATGTACAAAAGTCTAGTTCGTCTTAGAAAAATTGCAATGAGCATATATCATTTTTTCTTGGGATAAATTCCAGAATTTGGAAATACTAATTCAGAGTTCTCTGTTCTTTCCCTGACACTTGACATGAACTGGTGCCTAAACAAGCCATGTTTACATCTTTCAAAATCTAGGTATTTGTCCAATTATCTTGGAAAATTTGGAGTTCAGAAAGATGTTGAGTCATTTTCTGTGCAGACTGAGAGACAGGTCAAACAACCTACTGTTGAATTTTGTTTTTAAGTGATGTACCATATTCATCTATTTATTTTGATTGAATCTATTCTGTTTTGTTTCATTTGGCTTCATTCTCTCTAAAATAAAATTTTTAAAAAATTTTCTTGCTGGGCATGGTGGTTCATGCATGTAATCCCAGCACCCTGGAGGGTTAGACAGGTTCATCAACAGGGAATGCCAAGCTAGCCTGAAATACTGAGTTCAAGGTCAGGCTGCAGTACATAGCAGGACTTTATCTCAGAACAAAATGAACAAACACTTTTTCCTCTTATTTTAATGTAGCACAAGTAGATACTAATAAAGAAAATATGAAAACCCTTATAAATAGATTAAAGATTTGATACTATGCAGTTTATATACTATGAAACTATAGTATATTTATATACTATAGTATACTTTATATAACTATATACTCTAAAACTGCATAGTACGAAACTAGTATGAAGTATGCAGTTTCATATTATGCAGTTTATATTCTATGTTTAGTGATCCTGGGTTTTTGTGCATGAGCTATATGCCCCTGCAATTTAAAAAAATTTTTTTTTGAGACAGGGTCTATATAATTCACTAATTCCACAGGTTGGGTTTAAACTTGTGGTCCTCCCAGAGTGCTGGGAGTATAGGTACAGGCTATCCTTACTTAGAAATTTGCAATAATTATGTATATTTATGGGATAAAATGTGCCTTTAAAATATGGATCCTTTGTAGAAAGACTCAATCTAGTTAATGTACCTACCACCTTACTAATCTACAAATTCTTTCACAGTGAGTAGGACTGTAAATCCCATTGGTTAGCAGTTTTGAAGCTGTCTTCTTATTAACTGTGGTCACCATAATGTTTAGTAGAGAATTCAAAATTTCTTCTTCACTGTGACTGAGATTTTGTATTCTTGGGTAAACATCCTCCATTCACTATCTCTCGTGGAACTGATCATATTTTAAAATCAGACTGCCAAAGAAAGGTGTGAAGGCTCAAGGTATTTGGGGCACATTGCTCTTCAGAAAGCCCAAGCAGTGGTACTCTGCAGGCATGCACCTTGCTCCCAGTTCTTTTGGGTTTTTTTGTTTGTTTTTTTGTTTGTTTGTTTGCTTTTTTTTTTTCCTTAACTGAATTGTAGGAATTGAATGCAGGGCTGTCTTAGTTACTTTATACTGTTTGCTGAGACAAAATACCTGATGCCAAAAGTTGGGAAAGGAAAGGTTTATTTCTTACAATTTTTGGAAGTTTCAGTCCATACTCAGTTGGCTTTAAGGCAGGCTGGCATGGCAGGGCCGAGGTTCATGGCTGCTGCAAACAGCAAGGAGGAAACAGGCAAAAGAGCAAGACAGGCCTTCTTTCTGCCATTACATCACATCCTGGCTCCACCCCTAGGTCAGTGTAGCACTCACACCCCCGGTCCAAGGGATAAACAATGAACCAGTCAAAAATGCGTAATAGAATCGCATGAGGCCTGGGGGCCACAGACATAAACTATGACAAGGGCCTTGCACTGAACTAGACTAACTTCTGTTTTAAAATTCTTTTTTAATTTGAGCCAGGGTCACCAGAAGGAACTACAGTGCTGAGACACCATTCTTGGACATACATTCTTACATGTCTATGTGTGGATGCACCTTGATGTCATGTTGGAAACTAACAGGAGATGAAATAACTCTGAGCAGGATTTAAATTTTACTAATTGACTTTCTATGGGTAGCTGTCAATCTGTCCTAGGCCCAGGCCCATTGCCTGGAGATGGGAGCTGATTCATAGTAAGTGAACCTATATGAATCACAGGTCCTGGCGGAGGCCTGTAGTGGATTGTGAGGCCAGAGATACCTCAAAGGGCAAGATAAGGCTATAGCTGTGGACAGTCTGGCTCCAACACCAATTAACTAGGTAGAGACTGCAGATGCAAAGATTACTCCTACAGTGTCACTTCTACCATGTCTTCATGATAAGACAGTGCTACTGAATTGACTTGATTCATTACTTGGAGACATCCTTGAAGTGACTCCCAAGGTCCTGCTCATTGATTGTACTTTCCTCAGTTTCTCTGCCCTTTATCCTTGGTCCTAATGTAAGTAGATTGACACAGACAATCCTTTGTCTTTACCCTCAAAGTGGAGCCCTACAAATCATATAATTTTGTTTTTATTTAACCTCCACCATAAACTAGTTTGGGAGATCCGGGATCTAGGACAGAACCCCGTAATGTCAGAGACATTTCACTTTGAAAACCGAGATCCTTATTCTCACATCCATGTATTATTTCATGATCAGATTCCTTGGCTTCTTTTCCTGTGGACCCAGGGAGACCAATCTCAGCATCCCCCCAGCTTTCCCTGCATTCTGTGGCCCACACTGATGCCCTATACCCTTTACATGGAAGATAGAGATGGTCCCAGTTTCTTCCTGCTTTAAACAGCTGTGAATCAAACTCCTGAAAAGAAATCTTGCAAAGTTGTGCAACTTTCTGTAAGTCATAAACCTCTGTAAGTCATAGCACTCTGATGGGAGCTGCCAGATGGGGCTCTGCTTGGCCCCCCATGTTCTCCCCAGTGCTGTTCAGGAACTGCCTTAAAACCTGCTATCAGATGGAGACACAGCACATCTCAGGGATGTGTGACTGCATGAAACAGCTTTGGAGGCTTAGTGTTTTCTGCCCTTGTTGGTCACTTGTGGTGATTCTCTTTTGATTTATAAGAATTTTTCATCTCTCACAGAATGAACTCATGACACCTCTTTTACACCTGTATCACAAACTATCTGTCTGACTATGGCTTGTAAGGAAAGGTTTCTTGTAGTTTCTACATGATACTTGTTTCTGTTTTTCAAATGCAATGAATCAGACCTTTGTAGCTCCTTTCTATCACTGAAGTCATGGGAAAACTTTTCCAAAATGAAAAGATGAGTAGGTACACAATGGTCTCTACATTTTCCTGATAGAATTGTCTACCTGGGGTTTTCTCATCTATCAAAGAGCAACAGCAGCCAGTGTCTTCCAGTAAAATTTGACTGAACAGAATCTGATAAACAATTATTAAAGACCCAGAGTACTAAATTGCAGTGAGAAAAAGGTCAGAGGAGGTTGGGGTATAGCAGGAGAGGACAGGGGTATGGGGGGTCCAAAACTGAGTAGAGAGCTAGAAATCAATAGCTGTGGAAATTGTAGAAATAGATGGTGTACTTATGTGCTATTGAATTGAACATGATGAAACAAATGGTATCTTATCTTTAAAGGTAAATTGTACTGAATTCAATGTCTAGAAGAGTTACAGACTTAGTAGTAGAAATGTAAACTTAAAATAATACAAGGTGTACAAGGAGAGGGGAAAGGAAAGGCAGGTGCTTTGGAGGATTGGCCCTAAGTGGAGTTCAGGATGCTTGCTGTGGAGCCAGTAAAAGCCTCAGCTCTAGAATTTCTCAACACAGGCTGCCTGGCCATAGTTTTCACTTTGATCCCAAAGCTGGTGAGGTCACTGGAGATGGATCTAGCATAAACTCTGCATGTGGGGCTTGAGCTCAGTTAGGTACTACCCTGTGTCAGCAGAAGGAGAAAAATCACCAACTATCCTTGTTCCTTGCAGGCCCTAGAACTTCCCAGTGCCTGTCACAGACAGTTCTGTGCACAAATCCACCCCAGGAGAGCTTACCATTCTTCTTTGAGCTACTCACTTCTGCATGTCTCAGTGTTGCAGGAGGCCCAAAATCTTGGAGTCTTTGTCTGTCTAAAGTTTCCCATGCACTCCCCAGAGGCCCACAGACCCAGGCCAAACCCTTCTGACTTCAGTTCTCATTTTCAGTGAGCTCAGGTTGGTCTAACTCAACTGGGCATGTTATAGATTTGGACATCAACCTACTGCTGCACTTGCAGAGCCCCACCCCAGCCTTTTCTTTGCCTTGAATGGGGTAGTGCTGGCCCAGGTGGTCCTCACATGCTGATAGAAGTCCCTAACAGTGCTGTGACCACCTGTCCTCCCTTCTTCAGGTAAGCCTAACATAAACCTCCCTTCCCAACCTTTGTGGCCTGTTGTCTCTGAGCAAGAGTGGTGTCTGCAGAGTTACTCTACTCATGGTCACTCTACAGGGGTGATGTACTATAAATATCTGCAAAGTGAGTGGACAGAGAGTGTGGGTTCTGCCTGCCTTTCCTCCATCTTCAGTTTATATAATGATGTATCACCCCATTCTGTGTGCCTTAGAGGAACTCCCCTTACCCTATTATGTGTTCACATGTACAGAGGCCAGGAAGTTAGGCACATTCACAGTAATGTGGGTATTACATAGTGTTCTCTCTAAGGTGACTGTGTGGCCTGCACAACATTAAAGCACAAGACAACAGTGTTTATGTTTAATCTGGTCATTACATCTGTCAGAGCCTAGTAAATTGATAATTAAATGCACCCACCAGCTTCCTGCATAATTTCTGTGTGGACCATGATATCTCTCAGAAATTCCTGCTCTGGATAATAGGGCATCCCACAGAATGACTCTCCATTGTCCTTCACAATAAACAACAGCTTCTTCACCTAAGTGATGGATCCTTGGCAGGATGCAAATATTTCCCATGGCTAAGAAAAAACAGCAGTGCAGGCAGGGTCTCAGCTCTGATGCAAAAGTCAGGGGTTTGGGTAAAACTTGTTTTTCTGCTTTGTTATGTCAACCTAGACAAGACACCATGCCTCTCAGGAGCTTCCCGATATGATAGTGTACTCTATGGAGGTCATTCTGGCATCTGCCACCTGGGAACATCATCAGTGATGTGAGATAACACTTTTAAAATCTGTGGGCTGGTGTCACATATACATAGAGCACAGAATTAGAAGTGAAATCCAGGAAAGGGTAGGATGGAGGTGGAACACAGTGCACACAATGCTGGCTCCTGCTGTGTGGTGGTAGAAATGAGACTCACCTCCTGGACATGTTTCCCTGGTGGCTTCATGAGGGTATGGAAATGCATTGACTCAGCCATCCATATTTTCCCTAAGCATCTCAATTTCTTCTATGTATTGGTGCTGTGGACTCAAATCAGGACCTCACACAGGCTGAGCAAGCACTATGGATGGAGCTACATCCCCATATCTAAGTCCATAGCTTCTATATTCACACCTGTGTGAGCAAACAGGCCTATGGCCTGTGCTCCTACTCAGTAGCTGAAAGTTCATCTTGTGATGGCCATATCCTGAGTAGCCTGTTCCCTATGTTATGGTCCTAACTTTTTTTTTGTCTTTTTCCTTTTTATCAGTACCGGGGAACGAACTCACAACTGCCTGCTTGCAAGGCAGGCACTTGTGCCACTGAGCTAAATGCCCAGCCCTATGGTCCTAACTTTGTGGCTTATTATTATTATTATTATTTTAATTTTGCATTAGCAGTGCTAAAATTGAGGCCAGGGCCTCATGCATGGTAAGCAAGTATTGTATCATGAGCTCTCTCCCCAGTTCCTGACTCACTCTTAAATAACTGAATATGGCAGAGGTTATGTGATGGTACTATTAAGGTTCACACAAAATAACTGTGACCAATCTCCTGATCTTTTCTTTTGTTCTCCCCAGTATGGTGGTTTTTCCTATTTTTTTTTTTTTTTGGTCCCTCTCTGGATCTCTGTCTTCAAAGAAGTCACTGCTATCTCTGCAGCGTCCCTGAGGAGAGGCTGATGAACCTTGAGTGACAAAAGGGAAACCAGACAGAGGAGACATTAGGCTTTTGTCCTGAGTCCTTCCTATAGACAAAGGACAAAGTCTGAGAGCAAATTCTGCCCAAGTGGCATGTTCACTGAGTATGTAGCTCTATGTACCAAACTACTATGGTAGCAGCCTCAGAAAAGCCTCCTGGATTCCTGATCCACAGCAACTCTTATTAGAACAGAGTATTATCTCTTGTATCAGATAGGCACAGACTGACCTGCCTTGTATCTTTTAATATTTTGCAAATGTATGTTATGACTGGACAAAATTTGTCCTCTCTGCCTTCTTTCACCAATCAATCATTCTGAGGTTACTGTACAGTGTTTTTATATTTTTATTAGAATTTCAAGTCATGGCTTGCTGTAGTTTCTTTATTAATTTAGATGTTATTGGATATTCACATTGTAGTTTTCAGTTTTGAAATCAAAGCTGATGTGAATATCTTGTAAAATTCTCTTCATTACATAGGAATGGATGCACAGAATGTTAAGGTAGTCATGTGTGCTACTGTTAAATTAACTGCCAAAATGATTTCTGAAGTGAATATACCACTAGCAATGCAAAAGGAGTCTCCTTCCTCACCAATACCAGTGTACTTTGACCTAAAAAAAAAAAAAGTCGGCTCTTAATGCTCTTCAATACATAAGCAGGGTCTTTCCTTGTGAGATGAATATTCACTTACCTGATTACTGATAATGTTAAGAGACATGTACAGACCCTGGAAGGGAACATAACTCCCAAGAGCATGTTGAAGGCCTTCAGAAGTGATAGACATGTGGATCCCACAGAGGCCTTCCAATCACTGCAGGCTCCTGCTGAAATCACACTGCATGAACCAGGGAGCTCTGCCTTCTACTGAGGTTAAGGCCCCATGACCAGGACAGTCTCTGTGAGTTACTTGACAGAAGGTGGAGGTGGAGGAGCCCCTAGCCCAAGGAGGGGGACTTGAGGGACTGCTCCTCTCTACCCATGATACACATATACAATCTGCATAGCCCTGGAATATGGGAGCTGTAGAGACAGTTGAGTGAAAATGTGAGTGAAACTGTCCCAACGTGGGTGTTATAGCTATGGGAAAATGGGTCTGATAATACAAAGTTGTGCCCACAGAAGACATGCCAAATTTATTCCAGCCAGCACTGCCTCTATGTGACAAGTTCTACAGAATGTGAAAAGGACAACCTGTGAGCAGATAAGCAGACTTTGATAAACATGTTGACAGCAGCAGCCTGGGATCAGAGATGCCAGACCAGCAAGGTGCTGATATGGAGAGCATGACTGCACCACAGGGACTGGGGCCTGTTATGTACAGTGTCTGGGGATGGATAACAGGGAACTAAGGAGCATAACTGGATGCAGCCCCACTTTTGTTCAACAGGTAAATGCAGCATGGGGGCACCCTATTGTGGTGTGGATATGTTTTCACCTGGGTAACTGTGTATCACTGAAAAATGATACAGATATTTGAGGTGGCAACAAGCTCATCAGGGCGATGCCCACTGTTTGGCTTACTGTGGAAGCTTCTTAAGTCTGTGTTACCAAGGGCTGACAATAACTATCCCTACACTGACCAGGACACCACCTGGGTATTCCCATATATCAACGACACCATCAAACCCATTATTATGGACACACTGCAATATTGTGAAACTGTTCTGTAGGTGCCACCATATTGTACAGATGGCCTGGTGCTTTTCTCTGGTGGCTGTGTTGCTACCAAGGACAAAAATCATGGACCTAATCCTTTGTTAATGCAGCGCCCATGCCATTAACTTTACTTGCTAGGCCTGGTGTTGCTCATGGATGAAACTTCTCAAATGTGAAAGGTGGGTTTGCAAAACCACATGAGCCTTGATTTGGGAGCCACAGCCCAACAAGGTACTTGCACTGTCTTTCATGTAGAATATGGCATTTATATCTCTGACCAACAGAGATAGGAATAAGAGGTTTTACAATAAATGGATGTTCACCTGAGACTCCCAGACTGCCATCATGGGTCTGCCCCACAACCTGGCAACCAAGGACACACTGGACTGCCACTCAGGCCCACACAGTTGGAAATGCCCCAACCAGCTGGATGTAGTATTACAGTTGACCTTTGGCTCTGACCCTTTCTCCTAAAACTTTGGACTACAGTGGATTATGATGCTGGCTCGATGAGAGACTCAGGAACCCTTCACGCAAACAGAAGCTGTTGGCAGTCTCCAGTCAGTGTGGTGAGTGCGCCCCTAAAATAGAGGTCTGCAGTGGGTATATAGGAGCAGAAATGAAGCTCCCTCCAACTACAAGCCCTTGGCAAACCTGGCAAGAGAGTGAGTAACACTCCACACAGAGAACATCAGACAAGTTGAGGAGTGTACCAATAAGGCCTCCTCTCACTTGGAGAAAATTAAAAGAGCTTATAAAACACCCAGTGAAACAATAGGGCCTCAGCTGACAAAAACAATGTAAACAGGGATATCTGGTGACCTGCAACAACCTAAAGACATAGCAATAGCAAGAACTAAGAGTTTGCCTAGATCTATTCTTTTAGGCTAGTTAGTCCAGGAAGAATATAGGACTCACAAAACAGGCCCTGTGTGAGGAATTCAGGTGACGGGCTCTCCTCTTCATTTTGGTACCCAGCAATTGCACAAAAATCAACCACACAATAGGACCCTAAAATCCACACTATTGGGATTGGAAGACCAAATATGTACCCAAAGGATGAAAATGACAAGGTGAATTGGCAAAATGCAATCTCAAACATCTAGTGAATCAGTAGCAAGCACAGGTAACACTGAAATAGAGGATCTTAAAAGTCATATACCAGAAATCTCTGGAAAGATAGCAACTGACGTAAAGAGTGAAATCCACGAGGCTATAGCAGAAATCAAATTAGAAAGAATGTCCCATGCAAAGACAGAAATACCAACCTTATTAAACTAGTTGCACAACATAGCTAGAGAAGAAATAGATTTTTAAAAAGACAAGAGCATGAGAAATTGATTGAAACTTTGAATGAATAATGTAGAAAATAAGCAGAATCCATGAATCAAATGCAAGGAGATATCCAAGACAAAAAACTATTGAAAGCTGGTAAAGCTATTTATAAGAAGCTGAGGATAGCTTGAGGACAGTGTCATACATAGTGATCGTGATAGGTTAGAACTTGTAAAAACAACAGAGAAACATGAAATAATAATTCAGTAGCTTCAAGATGATGTGAAGAGAAACATAACAGTAACAGACATCAGTGAAAGTACAGGAGTTGATACCGTGTTATGCTATGTTATTTTACATTATGTTATATGTTGGTGAGGATTTTCAAACTGTATTTTCTGTGGTTTCTGATTTGATTTTGTATAATCAACCTGAGAAAATATAAGAATATCACATAACTCTGAGTAAGTATTTTTTGAAGAAAATTTAAAAAGGAAGACACAGTCAGCGATGTTGGTACACACCTGTCATTCCAGTACTCAGAGGTTGAGGCAGGGGAGTTAGTGGCCCAGCCATGCCCCACAGTGAGTGCTGGAAGGTGTAGTGATACACAAAGGTTAAGGAGAAGTTAGAAATAATAGCATTTTCAGATCAGTTGTGAGCAAATAAGTCATTAGCTTCCTACATGAAGAGTATCACCCCACGTGTCCTGTGACAACCACACATTCTGGAGATGAGAAAACAGGATTGTTCTGGGTGAGGGAGTGCGGACCTGTATGTGATGACACACAGGGTACTTCCCTGTGGTGCTTCTGAAGAAATTGGGTTTCCTTAGCCATGAAAGGCTGAGTGGCTGTGTTCACTCTCTCTTGGTAGAATGTCATTTAGCCTAGTGGGGCCTCAACCTCTGACGAGAGGGGCCTGGATAATTTCCCTGAGACATGGACAAAGTAGCAAGGGCCTAGGTTTTGGGTGAGTGCACCCCTGCTGATGTGATGATGTGTCAGAGCTGGGGACAGGGTAGAAGCACAGTCACACCAGTGCCAAAGGGATAAATGGGCCCAGGCGTTACAGTGAACTAAAACAGCAGAAGTAAATCATGACAGGAGGTGAAGTGACTTAGTGTCCATGTCCCTATTCTGAGGCTCCCGCTAATTTGTGGACAGTGACCTGGCACCTGGCCATGTTGGCTGAGCAGAGAGGAGGTGATAGTTGAAGAATTAGACCCCAGGTTCCTTTTGGGGCAGGACCACAGGCCTGCTGTTTACACACCATTTTGGGAAGTGCTGAAAATGTAATCTGACCCTGAATATCCCCTGTGCTCTTTGGGCCTCATTACAGAATCTCCTTAGGTCACTCTCTCCCCCTGCTGGCATCTGTTGTTATTGCGAGGTCCCACTGTGGTACAGGTATGTAGATTGCAGCCCTGCAGGGACGTGCTACAGGCTGATGTATGGGGCAGCACTGTTGGTGCAGTGCCTAGTAGTGTGCAAGAAGCTTCTGAGATCTCAGACAAGCAGAAAATCGGGACATCAGGACTCTCCTAAAGCCTCCCAGAGTTCTGAGTATAGCACAGAGAGACATGGCAGCTTCTGGAAGCACAGGCTGCACATAGAGCTGCAGGGTTTGCCCTGCACAGTGAGCTGGGAGGGGCCATGCCCTGTCTCATAACCCTGCTCCCCCATGGTAGGGATGATAGGGACACCCAGGCCCACAGAGCAGATAGTCACTAAGGGGTGTTCACCAGCATTTATGATCCAGGAAGCCCTCAAAGCCAACAACCAGCCAGGACAGAAACCAGGAGGTCTCACTTTGTCTGTTTTGGGATTGCCTAAGTGGGAAAGGATTCACCTTTCTAGTGACATCACAGAAACCACCATCCATGTGATGAACCACGTCCTTTAGTACAGTTCCCCATGGCTGCCTTTCAGACAGCACCTGGGGCTTGCTGGCCTGGTGGGGAAGCCAGGCTGTGTCCTTTTGGAAGCTGATCTCGCCCACCTTTGCCTCCCCATCTAGAATTTATTCTCACCCTCTGTTTCCCCAAACCCTAGAGCAGCACAGGCTCACTTATCAGCCCCCAGGTAGCCTTTCTCAGAGCCCTAGTGAATCTCCCTCTACCTGGGTTGCCTGGCCTCTGCTTTGCATCTGAGGCCTGAAAAAACCCCATCCTTATCCCTGTTTCCTGCTGGGGACTCATGGCCACCTGAGTGAGCACTTGGGTAACAGAGCTTCTTATGTACATGGGAAGGTTCTTTAGAAATTAAGCAGTGAGTCCCTAGCTTCTGGATTGAAGTTTCTGCATTAGAGCCAGATCAGAAGGCTGTACCATCTCTCACTGGTAGTACATATTGCACACATTACATTTTGCATCTGGTTGTACCCCCAAAGCCTCATGTAGTCACAGGAGAATGTTTTTTTCAAAAGTTGCTGAAACTAAGTTTGTGAAGGATTCATGGTCTAATGCTGAGATTAAGGGTGTTTGTGGCACACCTGCGCTAGGGTTGGTACCTGCTTACATTGTAAGGGGTGGAAGGAGACTTCCTCTCCCCTCCTCACCTGTTGTTTTTACCGTTTTCCACTGCCGTGGACTGTTGCCCTCTGCCATGTCCCACCCTGCCTTGAAGCCAGCAGGTAATGGACTGAAACCTTTCCAAATTGTGAACTAAAACACTCTCCCCTTTTTAAATTTGGGTGTCTGTTATTTTGCCTCACCGGCAAGAGAAAAGTATCTAAGACAGGACACAAGAGACCCAGCCTCCTATAACTTTTCCCATGCTCTCAGCCTCAGGAATTCTTGCTCACATTGCTGAATTCAGCTGAGTGTAACCTATTTCCCTTTTAGACCACACATCTGATACCCAAAGGCGCAGTGCTGGCCCTGTGTAATTAGAGACCTGCACTTGGCCTTGTGTGTCACAGTCCACCTTTCAAGCCGTGTGCTGTCTGAGACTGGGCCCTTGACCTGTGAGATCATGGTGAACCTGGACTGATGAAATCCCACACCAAAAAATCCAGGCTCAGGGCTGCTCACCTCCAAAAAGTAAGCTTCTGTCAAAGTCAGACACCTGATGTATTTGGGGTTGATTATTAGTAGGAAAAGCCCATTCAGAGTGTGAGCTTCATGCTCCATGGGAGCTATGCAGAGCAAAAGAGAACACTATGATGCGGTCTGCAGCCAGCAGCTGAGCAGTGGCTTTTTCCCCACCACAAGGGTCTGTCTACACAGGAAGGAAGTCCCCCTCCTCCTCGGTGCACAGAATAGAGTGTTGGGGTCAGTGACCCAGACACTGCATGTGATCCTCTCAACCCATGCTCTCTATGGCTGCTCAAACTGGTGACCTAGCACTTGGTCATGGCCAAGGCCATGACTGTCTGTGTTGAAGCTGCCTCACAGTCTCAGAATAACAGAGCAGTACTTAATGAAGGTTCCAACAGGTGAGGGGTGAACCTAGGCTCCAAAAGGCAGAGGCATCTATGGAAACTGTGCTCAGTGGGAACCCTAACCCTAGGGTACCATATTCTGTCACCTGGAGCATGAACCCCATGTCAGGCAGGGTGTGGTGCGTCCCAGGTACCAGATACTGTGGATTCCAGTATGTGGTCATGGTTTGGGAGGGAGGTAGCATGTCTTCCCAGGGAGGTTGCTCTGCACTCTTTCACTTCCTGCCAGGCTCCCATGGACAGGCAGTGTGACCTGGCAGATGTCGGGGAACCTCCCTTTCTGTTCTGTGAGCCTCAGGCCACAGACAAAGGAGGCAGCTGCATCCCACCCCATGCTCTTCCAGAGGGCACTAATTTCATGGACTAGTGGCTAAATAACCTCATGACTGGTAAGTATTTGACTGAGAGCAGAATCATCATTGGTTGGCATCTGCCAGCATCTTCAGAAATTCAGGCTGCCAGTTGCCTTCCTTGCACCTATCCATCAACCTGGTTGGTTCATTGTTCCCAGCCAAAGAGGCAGTATTATGGGAGGCTCATGTCTCAAAAGAGTCTTGACAATCATGATGAATGTTCAGTAGTCCATATCTCTGGCCCCTTTGTTTTGCTGACACTGTTTCCTAACTACTAAAGGAACAGCATTGGGGGTGCACCCAGCAGATTTCAATGCCAAAAGCATACACTGCCAGAGAATAGCAGAGTGAAGACAGATTCTTGACTATTGGCAGTTGAAGAGACCTGCTGGGGTAACTGTCAAAACTGCCTCCCCAACACAAGGGCAGCTGGATTGTACTGGAGAGACCTATCACACCCATATGGGGAGGACTGGTCCTCACCTCTAGAGGGAGACACTTTCCTGCTCTCCTGGAATCACATTATAAATCATGCTGCATTGTGCACTGTGCATCAGAACTGGTGAATTAGGTGCCTCATCTCTTTGAGCACCCACATTCCACGCTTGAGTGCATTTTGTATCTCCCTCCAGCAAACCTTTCTGAAGCCTGTGTTTTAAAAAATAGTGGAAGCAGGGCATGGTGGTGCACACCTTTAATCCCAGCACTCAGGAAGCTGAGTCAGGATTCTTGAAAGTTTGGGACCAACCTAGGTTACACAGTGAGCTCAAGTCTAGCCTGAACTGCAAAGTGAGACCTTGATTCAAAAAGACAAAATCAAATGAAATAAATGGTGGATTAGAACCCTTCTGAGTAGAGATTTGGGTATTATAATGTGTGCATAGCTTTTTTCTGTTTAACTTTCTCTCTCTCTCTCTCTATCTCTCTCTCTCTCTCTCTCTCACTCACTGGGGATTGAATTCATGGCCTTATGAGTCTTGCTTCCTTCCTTGCTCTTTCTAACTCTGTCTCTGTCTCACTCTCTCTCCATTTTTTTGACTTTCCATATTCTTCAGCCTAGGCTTGAACTTCTGATGTTCCTGTCTCAGATTCCTACAGTATGGGAATTACAATTGTGCACAACTATGCCAGTTTCATAGGGTCATTGTAACAAACACTGTTTACTCTAGATGACTTACAAGTGTGTGTGTGTGTGTGTGTGTGTGTGTGTGCTCTTTTGGTTGGTTTAAAGTAATTTCTCATTTTTTGTTTTGGTTTTTTCAGTATCATGGATCAAACTCGCAATGTTGCATTTTCTAAGCAGGTGCTGAAGCTGCTGAGTGAAGTCCTCAGCCTAAAGCAATGACTTCTTGGTTCTCCTTATCTTGAGGATGTCATCTGAAATAAGTAAACAATTTAAAGGGGTGTTTGAAGTTACTGGTAGTATTTTCCTTAACCCTCACCTTCCCAAAGAATGAATGCTTAACCCTATCCCCTCCTGCATAGCAGCTAACTGCTTTGGGATTGTCTCCTCCTGGGCTACCTGTAAACTGGGAGGGCTATAGGTTGTTCTTGATGGAATTGTCCATTGAGGCAATGTCATCCTCTTTGGTCAATGTTACCAAGTGCCTGCAAGGACTGTCATACATCAGACACAGTGAACAAACCCAAACGCCTTGTGCCCTGATCCATGGCATTGATGATTAATAAAGATCAAATCCCTGGTCAGTACACCTTTTGAGAGTGGACTGAGTTTCATTCTTCTTCCCTGGTATCATTTCCTAAGTCCTGTGATGACATTTGCCTCACTTCCATCCTGCCCCTGTGCTGCACAGGTTACTGAGGGTCTCAGCTGTCCTGACCTGGACTGGAACATGGTTCTCCAAGCAACCGATGTGCCGTTCCCCTGCTTGCTGCTCTGACCACCTTCTGATGGGCATCATTCCCAGGCTGAAAGTCCAGGGCAATAGCATCTCTTGGCCCCACTTTCACATGTGTCAGCAATATAACTGGGAGTGTGGCCTCCCTTACTCTCTGAGCCTGGGGGGAGTCACTTCAACTGTTATTGTGCACAGCCAGCTGAAGCACAGGATCAGTGCCAGGTAGCATGGAAAAACCGAGGACCCTCTGTGTGGCACCATGTGAGAGCTGAGCACCATGAGGGAGAGCACAAAACAAGGGTAGGAGCAGGGGCTGTGGAAACCACAGAGGTGGGCAGCCCTTCTCTGATGTGCGGACCCCAGTGCCTGTGAGGGCATCAGGATGGGCCTCTTGCATTGAACAAGGGAGTTCCTGGCCTGCTATTTCTGGGTCAGTGTGGCAGTAGACATTGGCTCTGTCTGGCAGTGAATTTGCACAACACAGATTGTGTGCTTGCTTGACCTTTTCTACCCAGGTCCTTCCTTGTCCAGCCCAGTCTTCTCTGAACCTTTCGGTGGAGCCACAAGAGGAGACACTGCATGTGTAGCTGCCCAAAATTTAGCTGGTGCAGTTTGGTGCTATCAGCCAAAAGGTATGTTGGGTGACAAAATGAAGTGCCACCCATTGTGCAGCTCAGGGATTCTTAGCCTTCTTCCAGCTTCCATTTTCTCTTTCCCCAGGTATCCCTCCATCCTCCTCTTATACACACTTCTCCTCTCAAGAGCACACATCTGGGCTTGTGCTAGCCCTGGCTGGACTGGGAGCTGCCCTGTACTCCCCCAGAAGAGAGAATCCAGTACCCACAGGTATGGATGATTTGTTGTCACCCACAACAAACTAGAACCAAAATGTGTTGTCCTTGATTCACAACATGGGACTGAGGCTACGAGGAATTCTATTCTTGGCTCTAGCTCTAGAGTTCTTCTCAGGACATGGTGGTCAGAACTGGGGGATCAAGATCAATCTGATTGTGGAGCAACCCATGACCTGACCTATGGTTTGGGTCCCTGTGTGATGCATGTGTTCCTGGATATGTGGGGAGACAAATGCAGGTGCTTCTGTCTGGCGGAATCCAAGTAGACACAGTATCTTTGAAATTGCTCATATGATATGGGCAGAATTGTATCTGCTCAGGGAACAAAGGCTGGGTGCACCAGACCATGAAGCAGGACCCTCAGATATGTGCTACACTTTGGAATAAAGGCAAATAAGTGTGTCCCAGCCCAAACATTTCTGCATGCAAATTCCTGCCCCCTGGCTCATGCATTTTGGTCCTGTCCTAAGAGCAATGGAAGGTATTATAACGTGTGGCAGTGCGGCCAGCTTTCTAATGGCATGGCTGTGGGCCCCTCAGGAGCTGGACAGCACTCAGACAGGAGACAGGCAGAAGGCTCACTAGTGTACAATGTGACTTTGTCTCAATGACCAGCCTCAGGATATGGCCACCATCAAATCTTCTTTTGTTTTGGTCACCTAGTTGCCAGGCTTCCATTGTGTTCTCACCTGAATCACAGCAGAATTGATTTCCCAAGTCCAGTTGCACAGTGAGGTTGTAGGTCAGTGTGCTGGTGTGAGGCAAGCACCTGTGCCATCAGCAGTAGGGCTTCTGTGTTGTGAAAAGCTGTGGATTGTGGCAAGAACCCTGTGTATTTTGATCCCCACCACATGGATGCTGGAGTCATGATGTACAGAGCAAGATTCCTGCCACTCAGATGTCACTTTTTACTATAACTTTCCTTCCCGTGATAAGTTACTCAGAAGCTATGTGCCAGATAAATATATGTTCAAGACCCTGCTAAGCATCTCCACACAGAGTGTCTGGTAGCAGCTCAGCCTTCAAAGCTGGGTGGGAGAGGTGGGGAGGGAGATGGAGGAGGACAAGTGGCTTTGTCCTCCAAGACAGCAGCTACAGAGGGGCAGAGGGCACCTTCAGCTGTCACTGTTACATCCACTTCTGAGCCTGTAGCCTGTGGTCAGAGAGGAGACAGCAGTTTTGAACACTTTGCTAGAATCAGTGATCTGAACAGAGCTACAAAAGCAGGACATTGGAGCCATACTGAGGACTCCTCCAGAAGATTTGCCTGATTTTCATTTTTGCTTTCTGTTCCATGACTCAGTCTTCACCAGATATTGGTGGTGTGGATTCACTTGTCTCCAAAAGAGTGGGCTGCTTCTGGGGATCTGGGGCAGTCAGCACACAGTGAGATCTCCATGTGTCTCTGTTACATTGTATATACAGCAAAGTATAAATGTGCATGTTCCTGTGATAGAAAGATTGGTCCCAGAAACTCCATTAGCGAGGTCTTAACTTGAGGACAGTTGATGCTTTGTTCTTGAGCATGCATTTGACTGAAGGACCCCTTGCCTGATGCAATATACACTTCTTTGCAGTGTATATCGATTACACTGATGATAGGCACATGGTTTACTTATTATGCAGAATGCATATTAGATCCTTTGTGGTGCATGACAGTACAACCCATCAACTAGAGACTGTTCTCAAAATTGTTTGCATTGATCACCCAGAATTGAAAAAAAGTGGAGAAGTTTACAGAGAAAATCTTTCAGATACAAAAACATACTTTAAGTCAAATATATTAGAGAACACACAAATAAAATAATAGATGAGCAGAGGAAAACAATGAAAAACAATGGTTGCCCAACATAGCGAAGAAATGGAATACATGAAAGAGATCCAAACAAGAGTTCAACAAGTTCAGTGTTACATAAGAGATATATAAAACCTATGAGATTAAAATTATATGCACAGACTGATCAAAAGAGAGGTTTAGAATTTCAGATCTTGAAGACAAAATTGTAGCTAGTTGTCATGAAAACAATGCTATCTTAAAATTAGCAAGGGACTATTAGAGATCAATCCAACAGTTACAAAATGCATCAAAGACTAATTGCATGAGATTGATTGGGGTCAATAAGAAAGCCAGAGACAACACAAATACCATAAAAAAACTTCACAAAATAATGGAATAAAACTTCCCAAGCATGATTAAAGAACTTGCCATACAAATAAGTGAAGCATATAGAACTCCAAACAGACATAACCCAAATAAAACTACACCAAGATATATAATATTCAAGATTTCAGAAATACAGCACAAGATCACAGTATAAAGTGCTGTTAAGGAAAAGTCACAGATCACTTATAATTGAAAACACATCAAATTCTTAGCAGTCTTTGTTGTAGTTTGGTATAACTGACATCATCTTGAGCCCTGCTTTTAACTGGTGGCCTATATTTAACCCAAGAGAATGGAAAATGACTCAGAGTACAAGTCCTGTGAGAAAAGCACAATGAGCTGCATTACCTGGAGAAAAATTACCCTGCTCAACAAAAGAAACATGATACAGGTGTCAACTAAAAATTAATGTAAGATTCTAGGTCAATTGTTTCCAATAGGATGTTACTTTGTGTTTCTCTGTTTAAAAGCTTTGTAAGTCTCCATTTCAGCCACTTGTTTGGACTCTGAAATTGGCAGGTAATCTATATGAGTGGTCCTGAACTCTATTAATAAATTCCAAATTCATCAATTTGTATGCTTTGATTCCTTCATTTTTGTTCATGAACCTACCTCAGTCTTCTCAACACAAATATCCAAGTAAAGAAGAAAGCTGTAGTTGAAACAGAAGAACAGTTCCTGAAGTTGGACAGAAGTACAAGTCCTGAAAGGAAAGAACATCCAATCCAGATTGGTGTATCCTGAAAATTTTTCAAAATTAATGGGAACACAAGATACTTCCATGAAAAAGAAAAACTGAAGGGATATATGACTGCAAAACTGACCATAGAAAAAGTAATGAAAGTTATACTAGAGAGAGGTAAAAAGGGCCACAATTCCAAGAAAAACACAGAAACAACCAGACAGCACAAGTAATTAAAAAGTGGAGAAAAGCAGAGAATCAACAGCAGAACAATATTACCACAAAGACAAACCAATACATATCATCGTTAATGATCACACCTCATCAACCAAAAGAAATAGATGGTGAAATGTATCAAGAAACAAGATACAAAAATATGCTGTATACAGAAAAAATGTTTAATTCAAAAAGAAATTCAGAGACTGAAAGTCAAAGGACAGAAAACTGTCTTCCATGCAACAGAGGCCCAGAAGAAAGCATGAGTAGATATTCTCTTTGCAGACAATATGAACTTCAAACCAAGAATGACCAAAAAGATAAAGAGCCTCACTGCATATGTGTTAATGGAAAGTTTTTAAAAGTATAAGATAACAATCATAAATATGTGTGCATCTAATACAAGGACACCCAACAATATAAGGCAATTGTTAAAAGACATGAAGAAAATACAAACAAAAAATAACACAATTGACCCAAGAGGCTTCAATATCCCACTATCACAAATGCATGAACTAGACTATTAATCAGCAAAGAAATAAGAAAGTAGAACTGAATCTGTGAATAAATGAACTGAATAGATGTTTACTAAGTATGTGACCCAACATATTCAGAATAAACATTCTTCTCAGGTATGCAGGCGAGGTTCTCTAAAACATGCCATATAAACTAGTCCACAGAACATGCTGAAGTAAATGCAAAGAAACTGAAGTAACCCAATGCATTTTACCTGACCATAATGCAATACAATTGGGAAATAATTGTAAAAGAAGGTACAAAGACTTCATAAATATATGAAAATTAAGTAACACTCTGCCAAACAATCAATAGGTCACAGATGATATAAAGGAAGAAACCTGAAAGTATCTACAACATAACAAAAATATAGATGCAAACCTTGGTTCTCCTGGGATTCAATGAAAGCAGTTCAAAGTGGGAAATTAATAGTATTCAAATTTCACTTCAGGGAATAGAAAGAGCATAAATAAAGATATACTGTTGCACCTCACACTTCCAGAAAAAAAAATGGCATGAAAACCCCAAAGCCAATAAAAGGAAAGAAACTAAAAAGATCAGAGAAGAAAGTAATGCAGTGCAGAACATAAAAACAATAAAAAGATTTAATGTATCAAAGAGTTGGTTCATTGAAAGAATAAATAAAATTGATAAATCTTTAGCCAACCACATCAAAAGAAGAAAAGAACCACTTAAAACCATTCATTGAGGAATGAAAACAGTAAGATAATTGTACATCTTTTGAAAATTAAGAAGATCATCAGTATCTACTTCAAAAACTCATGTTTCCCTAGGTTGCATAACATAGAAATGAATCAATTCCTAGATTCACATGAATTGCCAAAGCTGACTCAATAAGATATAAAAATTCTATATAATGCAGTATCTGTCAATGAGACTGAAGATATAATTAAATTTTATTGGGTACTGGCCGGGTGGTGTATGCCTGTAACCCCAGATCTTGGGCGACTGAGATAAAAGGATTGTTGTGAGTTTGAAACTAACCAGGGCTACAATGTGAGCTCAAGGCCACTCCAGTGCATAGCAAGACCATCTGCAAAACACATTAAAATGAAGCAAACAATGACAACAAAAAGGCAACTGACCAACATATAGAAGTCCAAGTCTTCAGGAATATACTGCTGAATTTTATAAGAAATGTGTAGAAAATTGAAGGCCCCTACTCCTTAATGAAATTGAAAGATACGCAGTTCTCCCTATCTCTTTCCTGGAGACCAGCATTACACTGATACTAATACCAGAGAAAGACACAACCAGAAGAAAAAAAAAAAAAAAAAAACTACAGGGAAGTTTTCCTAGTGAACATAGTTGCAAAAATCCATAATAAGATACTAGCAAAGTGAATGTAGCAAATCAAGAAGATTTTAAAACCTCACAACTTGGATTCATCCCA